GGTAGTGAGGTTGGCCCAGGATCGAACATTGTTTCGTTCTGCTGTGCATGGGGTCGCTATGAGTCGGTTCCGACTCGATGGCACATGACAACAACAACAAGATAAAGCACTGGACTGCTAGCCACAAGGTCGGTAGTTCAAACCCACCAGACACTCCCTGGAAATCCTGAGTCAGAACCAACTCGATAGCACAAATGTCTAATTTTGTACTAGTACAAGACAACTTTGACTGTTGGAACATTATTATTTTTTTTTTAATGACCTTGAAAATGTAGCTAAACTTTAATGCTATATATACCAGTTTTTTCCAAATTTAAAAAATAAAATTTATTTTTTAAAAGTTTTATTTACATAAAAATATTGAAAAGATAATAATAATAGAGAATACTTATATGCCCCACACCTAGTTTCTTCTATCAACATCTTATATAGAATGGAAAATTTGTTATATTTAATGAACCAATTTTTTTTTTTTTGCCTTCCGCTTCATCCAAGTTAATATGTGCTTACCCTCTCATTAGTGATTTATCCTCTCTACCCCCTCATCTGTGCTACTGCTGTTGTTAAGTGCTGACTGATAAAGACCCTGTATAAGGTTTTTGCCATCTTTGCGAAAGCAAAAAGACTCATCTTTCTCCTGCGGAGGAGTGCTTGCTGGGTTTGAACTGCAGACGTATGGTTGGCAGTCCAGTGCTTATCCTGCAGAACCACTGCACTCCCCCTCTCACCCCCTCTCACCCCCTGAAACCATCAATTTTCAAAAAATCTAATTATTTATCAGTAATGGAGTCAGCAGCTAGGAGAATCTTATGCCTAGGAGAAAAGATGATGATATTTCGTTTTTTCTTAAAACTTAAAGTTGATAAATTATGCTGGGGAACAGTATGGACTTTCCTCCCTGGCTTCCTTTCTGTTGTTTGTAGCTCACATATTCCCTACTTATTTTAGAACTAAAGCTGTGACTCAGATGGGGTACAACAAAGTTCTCTGGTCTGACAAATCGTTAACGTATAGGGCAAATAAATAAGAATGTCATAAATGTCGGTTTCACAGAATCCAGTACTTAAGTTTTAGTATCAAACTGTGCTGGGCTAGAACATAGTGAGAAACAAAAGAGACATAGTTCCTGCTCTCATGATGTATATGGGCTATGGTACAAAAGAGAGCAAAGATAGAAAAAAATTGCAAAATAAACATTTTTGTTGTGTTAGAACTTTATATACACTTTTCTGAGGGATGGAGTTTCTCTCTGAATCATAATTTCCTTAGAGACAGGAATTGTGCATGTAAGCATAGTAGATATGTATTGTTTAGAATGATTTCTGGTTGAGCCCACCAGCCCTCTTGAGGAAAAAGATGAAGTTTTCTGCTCCTGCCTCAGAAACCCTATACAAGGTTGCTGTGAGTCAGAACTAACTCGACGGCATTTAACCAACAACTACTACTAATTATTAATCTGTTATCCTACAGAGCCACCAGTTCCTCCAAATATTTAGTAATAGGAATTTTATAACCATCACTTTATTGTGGTTATGTAGTATTATAAAACAGCAATTTATTTTCAGAGATTTTATATGTGTCTCAAGATGTTTTAACAGAAAATATTTAGTTGTCAAATATATTGATTATCATGTCAATGTAGTTGAATACTAAGTAATTTAAATTGATCTTTTTCAGGATTCTGCTGGTATGTGCTACCCTTCAACAAAGAGTCATGAGCAGACATTTTCTTACTTCGTCGTAGATCCTATCAAGCGTCATGTTCATGTTTTATACCACTGCTATGGTGTGGGTGAAATGCCTTAACAATGCTGTTTCATATCACGCATATCTACTGCTCTTTTTCTTTTTTAATGCAACCATTTTCAATTTTGTTTTTAATTTATAGATAAACATTTACTTTGTAACATAACTTAAGTAAAATATAAAGAACCTGCTTAGAACAGAAGAAAGCGAACACCTAGATGCCTTTCTTTAAATTCACTGGAATAGTAACACAGAAACCAATTTCCATCCCTAAAATAATCTATGCTAATACCAATTGTGGAGTTTTAAAAAGTTATAAAAATCATTTATATTGTACTCAAGCAATTTTTCAATTGCTCTTGTATTTTATTTGAGAAGCTAATTAATTCTGGATTGAACCTGTAGTAGAAAACTAACCATCTCTACCACTGATAATTAATATGTACTGCTAACTTTTTAAACTTGAGTTTCATTTAATTACATTTCTTCTTTTTATCTATCTCTAAAGCTGTGAACAGTATAATAATCCTTTGGATCCATTGTACCACTGAAAAGAATCAGTTTGAAAGAAAGCTCTGAAAGTCATTGTAAACTTATAAAAATCACAAGATAAATTAAAATGGAAATTAAAATTAGCCTTGCAGTTACTATAAGAGCTATAAATAAACTCTAAATAAATAAACTGAGAGAGCTGCCTTGCTGGTTTTATTAAGTAGACAAGAGTAAGGAGTGGTGTGTCCCTTAGGATTCTCTTCAGTACATTAATAGAATGAAGGAATAATGTGGATTTTATGGTAATTAACACCTATACCATAGGCAATGGGGAGCCTGCAAGAAATTCTGAGACTTAGGAGGAACAAGTTTGGAATAGGTGCTTCGGTGTTGTAGGGAGAAGGGTGTTAATTTTAGATTTGAACCTGTGGCTCTATCTGGAAAGCAGCTGGCAATTTGGATGTAGAGTTCAATCGATTTTTGAGAGATGATACGAGTACAGATCTTAATCCATAAAATCAGATTTTATAAGAAATGTAATTTTAACTATTTTTCCATAAAAACAAAATATCCATTTCCATCAAGTTGATTTCAACTTATGGCCTTACGTGACAGGGTAGAATTGTTTCATGGGGTTTTCCTGCCTGTTATATCTACGAACATAGATTTCCAGATCTTTCTTTTGCGGTGCCATTGGGTTGGTTCAAATTGCCAGACTTTAGGTTTGTTGTTGTTAAGTGCCAAGTCATTTCTGACTCATAGTGGCCCTATATAGGGTTTCCAAGGAGCGGTTGGTGGATTTGAACCACCAGTCTTGTGTTTATCAGTCTAGTGCTGATCTTACCTGTAACTCCATCTTATTTTTCCAAAATTGTACTGGGGTGGGTGTACATATGTTAGAATGTTGAAGTAGAGTTCAGATTGTTAATATTTTCCAAACACATTAACATCTGCTGATATATCTGTCTCTCAGCTCTGGTAACTTAGTGGTTACAAGTCGGGCTGCTAACCTCAAGGTCAGCAGTTCAAAACTACCAGCCATTCCATGGGAGAAAGATGAGGCTTTCTGCTCCCGAATGATTTACAGCCTCGTAGATCCTATTAAAGGCCTCTGTGAGTCGGAACCGATCCCACGGCACACAACCACCACCAGCATCCTATCATTGAGCATCAGATCATTCAGAGCACTGAATCATCTGACTTAGAAGCACAGCTATTTTTTTTCCAGTGCCCTACTATCTTTTTGAGATCTTATCCAGGAAACAAGGCACGGTTTTGCCATCTCCTGAGAAGCTCAGTCATTGGAGGAGAGCACAAGGTCTCTGAGACCCACCAATAATATTGATAGTGTCTTTACTTCCCCTTTCACTCCCTGCCCAAGGGAACTTTTTCATTCCACTTAGAATAAAGCTGGGATTGAGTTTTGGTCTTTTGGGTTTGTTCATTATATTTTCTTCAAAATTCATGAGCCCTTTCTACTCCTGTAAGGAAGGACAAGACCTTTGATATAAAAAAGCTGGGGATAAATTAATTATCTTCCCCCCCCCATTACATCCCTTTACTGAAGCAATAGCTTAACTACAGAATAGCTTCACTATTTGTTAGCAGAAGAAAAGAAAGCAAGGAAAGGAAACTTATGGTAAAAATTAGTTAATCTAATGAAAATATTACTTGTAAATAGAAACATATGGAAAAAGCTGATACTTCAAGTCATGTTAAGAGGTAGCAAAATACAAAATTTGGGTAAAGATGAGGGACATATAGAAAAATGGGAGAGAATGAAAAGATGAGTTAGCTCAGTATAATGTAAAAGACCAATTTGTTTTTTAAGTTAGATAGATCAGGACCCAAATTTTGGCCCCCTACATTTGATCTATGATTCCAAACAGAATACTTAACCTCTTTAGGATTAATAATATTACTTGAAAACAATAATGCCTACCCCAAAGACTATGCAAAAATTCATGGCAAATTAATTGAATTCTAACCCTATAGGACAGCATAGAATTGTCCCACTGGGTTTCCAAGGATGTAAATCATTACAGAAGCCGACTAGCAATACTGATGGGATCAAACCACAAACCTTTCAGTTGATCTCCAAGTACTTAATCACTGTGCCGCCCGGATCCTTTCAATTATGACTCATAGCAATCCTTGTTATGTTGCAACAATGGGATAAAACATAACGATGATAAGGATGGTGTAGAGTCGAATAGTGTTTCCTTCTGTTGTGCATAGGGTTTCTATGAGTCAAAGATGACTCATCTGCATCTGACAAAAACAATGTTGCTGTCGTTAGGCGCTAGAGTCAGTTCTGACTCATAGCAACCCTGTGCACAACAGAACAAAACCACCTGGTCCTACACCATCCTCGTAATCGTTTCTGTGTTTGTGCTTATTGTTGTAGCCACCGTATCAATCTATCTTGTTGGGGGTATTCCTTTTTTTTTTTTTTTTTTGCTGACCCTCTGCTTTACCAAACAAGATGTCCTTTCCAATAGACTAGTCTCTCCTGATAACATATCCAACGTATGTAAGACAAGTCTCTCCATCCTTCCTTCTAAGGGCATTCTGGCTGTACTTCTTTCAAGACAAACTTGTTCTTTTAGCAGTCCATTGTTGTTGTTAAGTACCGTTGAGTCGGTTCCGACCCATAGCGACCCTGTACAGGGTTTCCGAGGGTGTAAATCTTTACGGGAGTAGAAAGCCTCATCTTTCTCACGCGGAGCGGCTGGTAGTTTCGAACCGCTGACCTTAAGGTTCGCAGCCCAGTTCGTAACCACTACGCTACCAGAGCTCCTTTAGCAGTCCATAGTACTTTCCATACTATTCACCAGCACCATATTTCAAAAGCATCGTTTTCCAATTTTTCTTATTCACTTTTCAGCTTTCACACACATATGAGGCAATTGAAAATACCATATCTTGGGTCAGACTACTCTTTAGTACTCAAAGTGACATCTTTACCTTAGTTGCTGTTGCTAATTGCTGTGCAGTCCACTCTGATTAATAGAAACCCTGTATAGGGTTTCCAAGGAGCTACTGGTGAGTTTGAACCACCAACCTTGTAGTTAGCAGTCCAGTGCTGATCCTATAACTCTATACCAGGACTCTTTACTCTTTAGCATTTTAAAAAGGTCTTTTACACTAGGTTTTCTCAATGCAATTTTCATTTGATTTCTTGATTGCTGTTTCCATGAACATTGATTGTAGATCCAAGTAAAATGAAACCCTTGACAACTTCAATAATTTCTTTTTATCATGATATTGAAGTCCTGGTGTGGCTCTGTGGGTTAATGCACTGAACTTCAAAGTCATTTGAACTGCAAGGGTTACTATGGATTGGAACTGACTTGACAGCACTTAATAACAATAGATAATATCATGATATTGTCTGGTGGTCCAGTTGTGAGGATTTTTGTTTCTTTATATTGAGTTATAATCCATGCTGAAGAATGTATTCTGTGGTCTTTATGAGTGTTTCAAGTCCTCTTCCTTTTTTCAAGTCTCTTCCTTTTCAGCAAGCAAGTTTCTGTCTCCTGCATATCTCAGATTGTTAATGAACAATCCTAATAATGCATTCCTATTCATATCATCCAGCTTCTTGGATTATTTGCTCAGCAAATAGATTGAACACTTGTGGTGAAAGGATGCATCCCTGACACACAGCTTTCCTGATTTTAAACCATTCAGAATCCCCTTGCTCTGTTCTAAGGACTGCCTCTTGGTTTCTGTACAGGTTCCTTATGAGACAAATAAGTTTTTTGGAATTCCTATTCCTCGCAATGTTATCCATAGTTTGTTATGAGCCACAGTCGAATGCCTTTGCATGGTCAATAAAACATAAGTAAACATCTTTCTGGTGCTCCCTGCTTTCAACTAAGATCCATCTGATGTCAGCAATGATATCCTTACTCCTACTTCCTCTTCTAAATCTGACTTGAATTTTTGGAAGTTCTTTGCCAGTGTACTCCCTCTAGCACTGCATCACTTCCTTGAAACATTTCAATGGGCATTCGGGCAATTCCTAAAGACTTGTTTTTCACTAATGTCCTAGGTGCAGCTTGGACTTCTTCCTTCAATACTATCAGTTCTTGATCATATACTGTCTCTCAAATGGTTGAATGCCAACCAATTCTTTTTAGTTCAGTGACTCTGTATTCTTTTCATCGTCTTTTGAGTCTTCCTGCACTGTTCAGTATTTTGTCCATGCTGTTGTTGGATGCCTTTAAGTCAGTTTCGACTCATAGCAACCCTATTTATGCTATCAACAGAACAAAGCCTGCCCGGTTCTGCACATTCCTCACAATTGCTGCCATATGTGAGTGCATTGTTGCTGCCACTAGATCAATCAATCTCATTGGGGGTCTTACATTTCTTTGCTGATCCTCTATCCTACCAAGCATGATGTCCTCCTCCAAGGACTGGTTCCTCCTGATAACCTGTCCTAAGTGTGAGAGACAAAGTATTGCCATGCTCGCTTCTAAGGAGCATTCTGATTACACTTCTTCCAAAACACATTTGTCTATTGTTCAGGCAGTCCATAGTATTTTCAATGTTCTTCACCA